TGTGCATCTAGAGTAGTGCCAGGTTCACACACTACCCAGCTGACCACAGCTAACGGTTCAAGGATCCCAACTCACGGCAGTTCCCGGCGACGGGTTGACATTGGAACGCTCAGCTTAATGTGTGATCCGTGAATACGGGCGTGGGTGATTAAGGATGTAGACCAGGGCCAACATCTCGCGACGTGTAGTGGAGTATCGTCGTTAACCTTTATCTAACTGACAGCTGGCGTAAGCTATCACCTTTTCGTTTCCGTCTTGGCACTGCGATAGTACTGCTCCTATGGCTGTTTCACTCGCATCGGTGTCCAGTATGAACGGTCCGGCATTATCTGAGGCATCAGGAAACGCTAGTATAGGTGAAGATGACAAAGCATTTTCCAACGTCTTGAACCCAGCTGCACACTCACTGGTCCAGACTAATGAGCGATCTTGTTCTGTGAGACGATGCAAAGGGGCCGCGATCGCAGCGAAGTTTTTAACGAACTTCTGATAGTAGGATGCGAGTCCCATGAAGCTCCGAACCTCGTTCGCTTTGCAAGGGGTTGGGCAGTTGAGTATGCGCCCGATCTTTTCTTTCTCAACTTCGCACCCTCTATCGGATATTATGTGGCCAAGGAAAGAGATCTGTTTTCGAAAGAATCTGCACTTTTTTGTTTTTAGAGTTAAACCGGCGTCGCGTAGTCTGCTTAGCACTTCTGCGAGCCGACGATTGTGCTCTTCTTCTGATCTGCCGTGGACAATGATGTCATCAAGATAAATCAAGCAGCAATGTGGAACCAGCTGTCCTAACCCTTTTTGCATTAATCACTGAAATGTGGCTGGTACCTTATTGAGGCCGAACGGCATAGTTTTAAACTCGTACAATCCTGATGGAACCGCGAACGCTGTCTTTGGTTTGTCAGAAGGATACACTTCCACTTGTCAGTACCCGGATGCCAGATCAAGCGTTGGGAACCATCGGGCTCCAGCAACTGTTTCAAGGGTGGAATCAATCCTTGGGAGAGGGAAGGAGTCCCATTGAGTGATCGCATTCAGTTTATGCATAACCTCAATCCCCCGTTTTTCTTCTTAACGAGTACTATAGGGGACGACCAAGGGGAAGAAGATGGTCGGATAATCTTTTTGCGCAGCATGTCCTTTATCATTTCGTCTAATTGCGGCTGATAATGGAAGGGCACACGTCTACACTGTTGTCGTACCGGATGATGACCCATTGTATCAAATCGGTGTTGCAGTATGGCAGTCCTCCCAGCATGATCACGATTAACGTCGAACACATCAGAAAATTGGTGTAAAAGTTGACCGAGGGTTTCCTTGCTTTCAGACCCAACCTGGACGTCCTCCAACAGTTTAGCCGACCAATGGCTATCCGAAGGTTCGGAACCCTCTACCGTTACCTGGAGGAGGTGTGCGGGCGAAACACTGCTATTTTGGAAACTAATAGAACGCGTTTTAACATCTCTTACAGCGCCGTGAGTCTCGAGAAAGTTAGTGCCCAGTATTGCGTCCCAGGTGATAGGAGCCACAATAAAATCACACATTACGCTGAGCGTTCCAATGTCAACCCGTCGCCGGGAACTGCCGTGAGTTGGGATCCTTGAACCGTTAGCTGTGGTCAGCTGGGTAGTGTGTGAACCTGGCGCTACTCTAGATGCACAACCGATAAAGTTTGTTCGTAGAACGCAGCATGTGGCACCTGTATCAATAAGTAGCTGGGCTTGGTGGCCGTCTATCAGACCGGGCATTGTAAAAGGGGACATAGAGACTTTGTACGTAGATAAACATACCGGTAACATGGAGATTGAAGGGGACTCACCGTTGCTTTCTCGTGGCTTCAGGGGCGGTTTATGACCGCATCGCTGGGCTCTGGTACCGAACCTTCGACAGTAAGGGCAGTTCTGATGGTCGCGTGAGTCCTTCCGTTGGTGATTTCCAAGATAGACATGTTTGCATGAACTGACTGGGCGACAGGGGTGGCTTCGACCAAGGAAGTTCGTCGTAGGTCTGAATGTAAGTGTTCAGCACCTTCGTAGCTGCCTGCGATGTCTACTGCCTCTTCCAAAGATCGCGGCGGCTTGCAACTGAATTTCGATAGTAGTGTATGGTTGCTCACGCCGACACGGAAACGGCGCAGTACCTCTTGCTCTACTTGAAGTTGAGCCATATCGGGGAAGGACTTGGCGTCCAACTCTAGGAGGACCCTGAGGTATGATCGAGCGTCCTCCGAAGGAAGCTGACACCTCGCGTAAAACGACCCCAAGTAGGTGGCGGTGGACGTTTTTATGGAATATAGTGTTCGAAGGCGCGAATCATCGTGTAGCTGTTGTTATCGTGGGACCTCTGACGATCATGAGAAAAGAGAACCGGTTTATACTGGTAATGGTGAATTATTTTACTAAATTGTGCGAAGCCGTACCCATAAAACATCAGGATGCTCGTTCGGCCGCCTCTACAGTGGTAAACGATTGGATTTTTCTTTACGGAGCGCCACATTTTATCCACTCAGACCAAGACTCATCGTTTGAAAACTGTTTTAAAGGAAATTTGCAAGCTACATGGGATAGTGAAGACAAGGACAACAGCATACAACTCACAAGGTAACGAGTTGGTTGAGAGAACGAACAAGACCCTTAAGAGCATGATACGTGTGTTCGTTGAGCCGGACTACGACGGGGAGTGGGATGAGTGCCTGCCGAAGTGTCTGTTGGCATATCGTGCGTCGCTGCACAGTTATACAAGTTTCTCTCCAGCCTTACTGCAACTGGGCCATGAGTTGCGCTTACCGGTCGATATCACTCCCAATGATGCCGGCAGAGGCGCTCAACCATGACGAGTACATCCGACGATTTAGACAGCAACTATGCAGTCCGTTCCAACAGGCACGACAAAATATCCTATCTTCACAACAGCAACAAAACGCTTTACGATCGCGGGGCCCAAGGACCTGTTTATACAGTCGACGACTATGTCCTCCTTCATTGATCAAAGCCAACATCTGGCACGCACCCAAAATTCCATCATCCGTGGCACGGGCCATCCGTCATTGTGCACCGTAGACCCGGTAATGTGTTCGTTCTTCGAGACCCTATGAAGCCACAGGCAGATGTTTTAATGGTACACTACAATCAGTTGAAACCTTATCATAATAGTTGCGGACATACTTATGTTACACCCATACCTTCCCCCGACAACGTTCCATTACCGGAGATGGAGGTGGAGGTTCCTCCCGAGGGAGGACCAGCTAGTGATGTTACGAACACTGAGGACAGTGTCCTTTCAGATAGGGGAGAGTAGTGTAGTGTAAATCTTAAAGTCAAGGACGCTTTTTGACCTGGTTTTCACCCGTGTTTTTCTTTCTCTTTTTATTCACACCTCACAATGGTCAACTTCTCGTATGTAACTGACACGAACTGTTTGAATGAGTGCGAAGTGACTGAATACGAACCGCCTTCTTAAACGATCCGCATTTCCCCTCCCCTTTTTGTTTTCCTTATTGGTTGTACCGCTGTTAACGCTTCTTGACATAATACACACGCTGCCTGTCCCAACTGTACGCGTTCTTCCTCGTTCGCTTCGTCGTGTGATTGATTTGCCAGTTGTCCATCGGGCTTGTGTGCTAATCGCCTGTTGGTCAACTCTTCCAGCTACGTCGAACGTGCCGAACTCATTCAACAGCAAGGTGTCTACCTTTCTAATGCCCCCCACCTCCATTGCTGGCTCCAGGTGACTGAATCGTTGCTGGGGGGACGGGGTGCATTGTCCTCGTGACGGTACCAGGCTCAAAGTGGTTCCATGCGTCCTACTTGGATTGAGCTACGGCCCAGCCACCGCCATGTGTACGTCTCGTGTACATGATTCATTACACAGATAGACAGGAATGCCGATCCTATGCATGTTGAAAGTGTGGATCAGCTCCGTTGATGAAACCTGGCTCCCATCCACATGCCTCCCGGTCTTATTACTTCGGGTTTACACTAGACATAGGTTGATGGGTGGAGCCAGGAGTGGTGCAGTGCAAGCCACTCATGGTCCCTCTGTAGGCGCAAGCGTCCTGTGGCTGTACCCGTGGAGGCCACAGTGACAGGCACATCCGAAAGGAGATACTGTCAACCATATGTATCTGATTCTCATTTAAAGCCTTTGACTGAAAGACGTGATCGTAAGGCAGCTGGAATAAGATAGTAACTCACGTGATGTTCAACTTTACAGGAATAATTATTGTCCCGATTCCAACCCCTGACTTGGGGGCAGCATAATCTCTTCCTAACCTCCAGACATCGATCAGCCTAGTAAGCGTAGCTCTTGATGCACCATTCGCCGTGACTCAACGACTCACAGAGTTTTACAATGCTTCACGCCTCCTTAAAGTCACGACATATGTTCTCCTTTTACCCGGATTGGCATATCAGAGGAAAGTCTAACTATTCAGTGTTTTGTCCGTATTCCTTGTAATCTCTTGTGTTTACTAGCGCAGTTGCTCTGGTGTTATTTTGTTTTTTTTCCTGGCAATTGGCTAGGGGTTGTTGCAGGCTGCTTGGCGCCATATCGCGACTGGTTAGTTGGCCATATCTGCTACCGACATCCCCGTGGCGTAGGAACCTTAACTCCCTACCTGCGAGCTTTTTGGATAACATTTTGATGTCTTCACCAGGTCAACTCATCACTCACCTACTCAACAAAATAGGTCAACGAGGAGCTTGAAAGCCGGGATGTGATCTTTGATAACGAATAAGGGAGTCTTGGAAGCTGCGCTGATGTTGCTTGGCCGGGTAAAGAAGCGTCTGCACACAACTCGCCCAACTCGTATGAGAACACAGTATCCAAACTTAGACTTTGGTTTTAACCTGCTCCTTCCTTTTGAGTCCCGATCTTCGGCGACTAATAACCGCTCCTACTTCTCAGCGTATTCTTGTCTTCTTCGTTTTTTGTCGCGCCATTTCCATGTTCCACACTGAATTCTTATTTTTCGACAGCATGTTTAACTTTAAGTGAAGAAAGTTATGCCACCCAAACGCAAAGGAATCGGAGTCGCGTCACCAACTGTCACAAAACGCGTTAGGACAGACGACAAAAAGGATGTGAGCAAAAAGATCTCAGGCATGTGTACCTCCTGTTTTCTGTCAGTTTGCAACGTTAGACTTGTTAAAGGTGATTGAGGAGAAGAAAAATTCCATTGATCAGCTTTTTCCTCAGCCTCCGGTATTTTTCCATTGCATGTTGTTGATTCTATACTTACAGGGTAGTATATGCCACATACATGAAGATTACAATTGCGCTTTGAACCAAACTAATATTCAGCAAAACAATAATAAATTCTACATTATACAGCTGATTGTTATCGACCAGCCTTCGCCGACTTACACCGTTTGGACCCGTTGGGGTCGTGTGGTACGTTGCTCATTTTTCAGCTATGCTGCGGAATCCAGGGTGAACCAGGTCAGTCAGCTCATTTGGGGCCATTCCACGAACTACACAAGGCGGTCGCTGCTTTTGAGAAGAAATTCGCAGAAAAAACTGGCAACAAGTGGCCACAACGGTCCAAATTTGTCTATCGTCCTGGAAAATACGATATGGTCGATGTGATCGACATGGCTTCAGAACCTGTTGGACAAGGGTCGACCGCATTATCACTCGCGTCCTCGGTAATACGAGTTTGAGGTTCAGCCTTCTTTTATCCTGTGTCTCCATGCTTTAGCTGGGTGTGCCCTCTAAGCTAGACAATGCGACGCAGTCATTCATTCGACGAATATTTGACCGCAGCATGTTTGAATTCACTATGAAAGAAATGCATTTAGGTGAGCTTTTCTCTTATCTTTTAAGGTACATTTTTATTCGCCTTATAAAGGATATTGTTTCCTTTGGCTAGCTGGAAAAAGCGACCACCCAACTGACACTGTCATCTCTTTGCTTGTTATACGCTGATGTCACTGTAAAGTGTCATTCGGAAAGTGTTACTGGAGTCGAAATGATCTCGCTTGACTGGTTAACTTTTCACATATTCCCCCATCTACTAACAAACCAGGTAAGTGGATCGAAACTGATTGACATCCATCCAGGCAAACACCGCCTAACTACTCCTCGCTGAAGCAAAGCACCAATGCCAATCGCGTGTATGTAATAGGACAGTGGATCTATTATTAAATAAATAAATAAAAATTTTCTCGAATGCATCGAGACACACCATATGAAGCATAACCAAAATAAATACCTAAAAATTCCAGTAGGCGTGAAAGCAAAACCAAAAATGTGTTGTAGGCATAACGTGCGTCGCTGGTCTTCCTGCTATGTTCGCATGTGCACCGTTTGTTGCTTTTTTCTTATGTCGTAGGTTAACGAACTTCAGCTAAATCATGTTATATAGCCGGAGTGGTCTAGCATAAAGCCGAGTTTAAATTCCAGTGACATGAGAGCAGAAATAAGAGAAGTCGTATGAGTGTTCCACGATTGCTACACTCCAAGGTAGAGGTTTAAGCTGCATCCTTGCCGACTACGCACGTGTGGGCCGCCGGCCACCAAGCGAGCACCATTTTGGGGGCAGTTTTGGCCTCGGTAGCAATCGATCAGATAATGGAGACAGACCACTGACTCTTTGTTCTGATCATCGCTTGTTTCTTTCCATAACAAGTTCACAATACTCGAAGAGACAGACTGTTACCTGGCGTCCACCTTCTCAAACGCAAGAGTGGTCCCAACTTGGCCGCATAGAGACAAGCTACAGATGGCGCGGAAGCGTATCAGACTGCTGTTCGTACTGATCAACTTGTCTGGACTCCGATCACGCATTGGTTCGCGCTAACTTATGCATGCGTTTCGGAGGATTGTCAGACCTACGCATTACTGCCCCAACGTAGAAAACCTACAAGACCCTACGACGTTAGCCAAATACCAGGTTTCCCTATCAACATTGTTTACCCCAGCTTCTGACGATGATATGGATTCACAGTGGAGACGTGTCAAAAATGCTTTAAGTTCCGCCAGCATTGATAGTTGCGGAGTTGCGCATCATCCGCCGAAAAGCTGTATCACTCCCCTTTCCTTGTTGCTGATGGACAGACACCGCTCCGTCCCGGCCGATTCCAGCTGTAGTGATGAACGCTGATTCCTAGATCGAGAATTGCGCAACCCAACCTGTGCAACGTGACCTCGTGTTTACTTTAGCTTTGCCATGATAAGGTATAGGATCAGCCACTGGCAGCTATGGTCCCAATCGCCCCAGGTTCAAATTAATTACATAGGAGTTTGCAAAAGGACCGTGAAACTTTGTCGTGTGAGAGATGGAACTTCCTCTCCTCTCTGGTAATACCAGAAGACTTTTCTATCTTATCCGAGTCACCGAAGGTTTCCGATCTGGCTTTTGCGAAACAATCGGCGAAGAAGATGGTCTACAATCACTAATCTTTAACGACGGTTGGAACGATGGGCTGAAACTTCGGGCTCGCAGTTTTACTGGCCATCAGCTCCGTCTACTTACCCCGGATCGCTCAATGGTGCTGGGTGGTCTATACCTAGAGATCCCCCTTTCATCAGGAAATCTGACATGAATCCGCCTTTCGCAGCACTATAAAGTACCCGGCTCTAATGGCTTACCTCCTGCCCTATTTAAAGATGATGGTTATTCGCTGGTTCGAGAACTCACTGTTTGTTCACAGTAGTCTGGTTGAAAGAGGAGGTCCCATCATATTGTGGTGGGTCGATACTCGTCCCCATTTTCAAAAAGGGCCTGCGCACAATCTGCTCTAGCTGCAATGGTATTAACTTGGTTCCTGTCGTTTGCAATGCCCCGGTATCAATAATACTTCAAAGGCTATCCCTAACTCGCGAATTACTACAGCGAGAAGAACAGGCTGGGTTCTGCTCTGAGGTTGTTGCATCGATCAAATTTTTCCGCTCCGCCAGATTCTCGGGTTCCGCGATGTGTATCAGAGGCCAACGATTGCTGTGTTCTTAAATATCCGTGCTGCCTTTGCTTCTGTCGATAGGACTGCATTGTGGCACTGTCTGTTGAGGAATGGCATCCCCGTGAATTTCGTTTCCGTACTACGTGCTGTTTACAGGTTGACCTCGGTTAGAGTTAGGGCTTATGGTAAGCTTTCGCCTTCCTTTGCTTTCACCAGTGAAGTTCGACAAGGATGCCCTATCTCCCCATTTATCTTCAGTTTTGCCATTGAGGATGTCCTCAAAAATTCTCTGGAAGACTCGTTGAGCATTGGCGTCGAGCTTCTCCCAGGTAGCCGTTGCTGCCTTGGACTCATCATCCTCATCAACGGCAGTACATCAGCCATTTTAACTGATGCTTCGCTGCCATACAACCATAAGGACCTATGAAATAAAGAATAAGTAGAGTTAAAGAAGGGCGACTTACCTGAAAACCTTAATGCCCTAAGCAAACATTCAGGCTCAAGGCGCATACACCTTGTGCATACAACATACCGTCACAAACAGCTGGCTATCGTGCAAAGATAAGGCGGCATCGGCGAGACAGCTTCCTTGCGGCTTTCACTGCCACGCGTCATAATCAGCCATTACCCCGCAGATAACTCAGCACCAAACACACTTTAAACAGACAATCCGATTAGGAGACGGCAGCAGACGCGCCACTGGTGTCGGTTGCGAGCCATGTCCTGTAAAGTCTCCAGCCAAACAAAAGACGAGCCATGTGGACTCCAGTCCGGAAGACGAGACGGACCAACGGCACCCAGTTTGGTTGTCAGTGACTTCATTTCCCGCTGCCAAGTCAACTTCTGTCCACCTCGAACCTTGCGCCACCCAACACCTGATAAACTGAACAAGGCCCTCCTAGGTAAGCGATGACCAGGCATACGTAGCACGTGCCCGAGCCAACGCAACTTATTCAGTGCTATCTGTTGTTCTAGATAGCTAGCATGATTATCACCACCTAGTACTCGCCTACGCACATCATCGTTGTGGACACGCTGGTACCATCCGACACCAGCAATGCTTCGCAAACAAGGATGATCAGAGGCTTGAAGGCGCCTCAGATCATCAGACCGAAGGGGGAAAGTCTCACTACCATAGAACAGAACGGCCCTCACTGTGGCCATGTATACACAGTCTTTCAGACGGAGGGAAATTCCCTTCTGTCGCCAAAGGTGCCGCAGGTTCAAAAAAGTAGCTCTGGCTTTTGCAATGCGTGAGCTGACCTCAGTTTCTATGCGCCCATCGTTGCTGATGCACCTGCCAGGATAGGTGAATTGATCGACCATCTCGAGTTCCTCGTTAGCAAGGATCAAGTAGCTGGTGGTCCTGCAGCAACACTTTACACTTTGAAGGTGCGAAGTGCATACCAAATAATGGGGACCACTCTGGACAGGCTATTCATGATTGATTGTGCCGTCGCAAAATCGTCGAAAACCAAGACGATATTGTCCGCATAATCAAGATCAACTAACCTTTCACCAGACAGCACTTCAACGTCTACATCGTGCGATTCCGCACGGGAACAATCCATGATAGAATTTACGACGAAATTGAACAAAAATGGGGAAGTCGGACGACCCTGACGAACGCCACTTGTGATCGGAAAGCTGTCCGATAGGACACCGTAGACCCTGACGCGGCCTGTAGTGTTCGAGTATAGAGCACGAAGCATGTTCACATATTTCGTGGGAACACCTTTTCGCGCAAGTAATTCGAACAGAATCGATCGATCGACTGCATCGAACGCATTCTTGAAATCGAGGAACACAGCTATTGTCGGTCTGCGGTATGTGTGGCGCTGCTCTAGCACCTGCCGCAAAGTGAATATATGGTCTATATAGCCACGTCCTGGGCGGAAACTGGCTTGCTCTTTCCTAATCCGAGATTCCCGTTCCGCAGTGAGGCGATGAACGATAATCGAGGCCAACAATTTTTTTACAACTGGCGTTAGGCTAATACCCCTGTGGTTAGAACAGTCTGTGCGGCTGCCCTTCTTTTATGTCGTCACTATAATCGATTCGCTCCAATTAGCCTGGACACTTCCTTTTAGATACATTCGAATAAGGAGGCCAGTGCTTTGCAGAAGACCTCACTTCCATTCTTAAATAGTGCATGTGGGAGGGAATCCGGGCCAGCGGCACGAAAACGATTGAGGGCTGTGATCGCGTTTCGGACCTCGGCCTCCGACGGAGGCTCTGAACTAACCGTCCACGGCTCGTCCTGCATCGCCTGAGTAGGAAGTGGTACGGGAGTAGGGGGCCAGCTGAACTGGTCTTGAAAGTGTTCCGCCCAACGAGTCATACGGCGTTCCTTATTGTGTATCAGCGCACCCGCGCTGTCTGTCTCACTGACACCTGGTTTTCTGGGACCAGTGGTGCGGATTAGCTGGAACAGCTTGCGGTAATTGCCTACTGTTTCTGCCTTCATTTCTTGAACCCTACTGGTCCACCACGCTTCGTTGTCAGCACGTAGGCTCTGCTTTAGTTCACGCCTAATAGTGCGTCTGGTCACATTGTGTTCAGAGCCAGCCGGGAGGTGTCTTCTAAATTCCAACAGGTTCACCGACCTCTCGAATATCCAGTGACTGGTGCGGTGACGATGGATAGTGCCACAAGCAGAGGCTCCTGCGTCGTACATGGCGGCTGAGATCCTATTCCACTGAAGCCCAGTGTCATTAGGACAAGACGGCGGAAGTTCGGTATGCAGTGCGTCTTGATAGGCTTGCCTGACCGAGGACTGAGACAATTTCTCCGTTGCCAATCGTAGGGGGCGCTTTTTGTGCCTCCCGGTAAAGTTCATGGAGGAACGACAGCGTACCAAGGCATGATCAGAGTCGGCACAGGTACTCCAGTACGAG